CACATTATTTTATTAATATAACGTTAATTTTGTGTCCTTATTAGTACCACAGGGATACATCACAAACGATCTTCCAATCGCTTGATGAGCTAAATTGTTCTCTCTGTGGAAATACTCAACGTTTTAGAACATAACAATCCATCATAGTTTTTTTCTTGTTTTTTCTGCGTTAATTAATATTTATATGTACATCTGAGGATGGCTCGAATATGCAGCCGAAACGTTATGGTTTGACTTCTGTTTGCGTGCGCATTTATAGTGTGAATTTTAGTTTATTGTCATTTTATTTTAATTTATAATATATTAAATGTTTTATTAGTTCACACATATAATATTGACTCTTAATTGCCTTTTTATTTCATTGACAATTTTTAATACTAAGAATCCTGTATATTCGTTTTATTTTTCATTTAGTTTGTAAAATCTGTTGTAATAATTTTTATCATATATGTATATAATTTTTCTATAATATTTCCAGGTGTGTGACATGTTGAAACAGCAACAAAGCACTTTGGCAGAAATCGAGCACGGCGCCAAGTTACTTGCATTAAAACAGTTGCTATTAGATTGTGGTATCGGGCAACAGCAACAGCAGCAAATTCGCAATTTCTCCGTCGCTGTGAATCTTACCGCAGAAAGCGCTCATTCCCAGGAACAGCAACTAGTGAGCCAGCATCGTGCTCTAATTTTCTGTCAGTTGAAGGCAATGTTGGATATTGTGGAAGAAGATCTACTCCGTACGCATCTACCAACAGTAACGTATCTCCGGCTGGATGGCAGTGTGCCGGCGGCACATAGGCATTCTGTCGTAACGCGTTTCAATGCTGATCCATCGATAGATGTTCTTTTGTTAACCACTCAAGTCGGTGGTCTTGGATTAAACTTGACGGGAGCGGATACCGTCATATTCGTGGAGCACGATTGGAATCCTATGAAAGATCTCCAAGCAATGGATCGCGCGCATCGTATAGGACAGAAAAAAGTAGTCAATGTATACCGCTTGATTACTAGATCAACAGTAGAGGAAAAGATCATGGGACTACAAAAATTTAAACTGCTCACTGCAAATACGATAATATCGACAGAGAACACTTCTTTGGAAACCATGGCTACTGACCAAGTAATTCAACAATTAATATTTGATATTGAACTTTATCGAAACCACGTGATGTAAATCAATATTATTTTCTTAGTTGTTAGACCTGTTCTCGTTGGATAACGGAAAAGAGAAGAGAATGGATCATCAAGAAGATACTATTTCGTCAAAACTTCCTGGTCTACCGGGAATTAGTCGTTCTGTGCTAGATATCCTACCTGAACTTTGGGAACAGCAGCAATACGATGACGAATACGATCTCGACTCATTTTTATCTACTTTGAAGGCTGATAGCCAATAAGCTTACCAGTACCTTGATAAATCATTCAATATACATTTAGAGCTCGGTAAGTTTTTCGCTCGAAGTTGGCACATGATAATCGAATGAAAAATATTGTAGAAATCGGATCCAATTGTTAACTCTTAATTACGTATAGTTCGGTAATAGTTTTAGCATATTTCAATGGCTAAAAGCAATCTTACATATAATTTACGTAATAATAAAAGTTTACGTAATAATAAACGCTTAATTGAGAGTTAACAAATCTGTTGCAATAGAAGTCATTAAGTTTTACAATAAGAAAAATGACATTATCAGCGTACCGAAACTCAATCTATATGATAATAAGTAAACATAAATTAAGGTATCTGCGTAAGGTAAACATGTGTTTTGTTTAGTTGTAATAATTTATAAAAATGCCGATTACAATTACAATTCCGCATTTGTACCAAATAACGCCATGGTGCATAATTATTTATAATGTATATTATACTAGTCCTTCTCTTTTTTTCTATTATTATGTTAAGTCAGCAAATAACAATACCAATTGCTTCGTATTTGCTACCTACGTGCATTCTCCGTTAATGAGAAAATTATGTTCTACATTAGAAAACATTACATGGAACAATCTTATTAACAAATTGATAAGATTTATAACTTTTGATTGAAAATATACAAGGTGTGCCTTCCAACAATTGACTCACGAGGAGATGGCAAGAATTGCGAAATACGAATTGAAATGTGTTATACCATTCAAAAAATGGGATCAAGAATGTAAAAGGGTTTGGTGCATGAGCCCTTGTTTAAAAGAAATTTACGTGTGAAATTCAGCAATCAGCCTATTGCACGGTAAGTATGTATTCAGAATAATCGTGATAAAACGAGAAGTGCGGTAGTTAAGAGGTTTGCGTAGTATTTTTGCGGAGAGAGTTTGAGACCACACAGTACCAATCGTTTTTTTTTTAACTTCATCAAAAAACATTATTTTATATATTTATTTACGTTTATTTATCTTTTATTTATAAAATTTGGACATTGCCGTACAATGTTGAAAATTAATATAAAAACACAACTGAACTCTGCACACCACGAACATTTTATAAAACAAAATTGTCCAAATAATCTTATTAACGGTGGAAAAATAGAATTGAATTCGCGATATGATGTAATAAAAATTTAATCATTAACGTATTATTTATTATGTTCAAAAATTTGAAAATATGATTCTATTTGCATGGTATGTCAAAGTTAGCAAATGAACGCGAAATTTTTTATAATGTTAATTATGTTTCCCCGCATATTTACATAACTTAAAATGTAATTTGCATAATACGAATTATTGCTTTATAAAATGTTCGTGATATGGGACTCATTTATGTGTTTCTAATACTTTTACATTAATTTTCATCCACAACATTGTACGGCAATATCCGAATTTCATAAATAAAAAATAAAAAACGTAAATAAACTTAAAATGTTTTTTGATAAAATTAAAAAAAGAAAGATTGACACTGCGTGGTTTCGAATTCTCTCCGCAAAAAATAGTACGCACATGTCTTAAGTCTCTCAGAGCCACTGCGTTCTGCCGCTACTATCCACAGTACTTACCGTGCAGCAAGCCGATTGCCTAATTTCACACGCAAATTTCTCTTAAACAGGAGGCCATGTACCCAAACTGTTTTACACTTTTTACATTCAATCTCGCCTTTTGAATGATATATGACACATTTCAATTTGTATTTTGCAATTCTTGCCATCTCTTTGTTGAATGGTAGATGACACAGTGTATCATTACATTCTTGTTATTTGTCAATGTTAAACAAGGATGATACGATTACTGTATTGTACTATATCGCTGGTTGGAAGGCACACAATATCAATCAATTTGTCACAAAAACTTTTCAATGATTCAAGATATCAGCATTAACGGAGTACGGAATAACTATAGATTCTCGCATATAACATTTTAATTCACAATTTTGATTTATTTCCTGAAATCATATTACCCGCTGCAAATATATTATGTGGATCCAAGTGCGCTTTAGTCGCTCGATAAAGGGAAACACCCGCGTCCCCAACGGCTTCGGGATAAAACGACGCTCTTATTTTTCCTATTCCATGATGATGGGAGAGCGAGCCGCCATTGGCGAGTATTTCCTCTCGCGCTGCATGCTCAATGGCTTCATAAGTTTCCACAGGATTCTCCATATTTGAGTAGCTAATCGCCAAGTAAAAATACACGCAACAACCCGCGTCATAGGTCTGCGTGACGCGACAAGAGATAAAATATTTATTGATACCACGCGCCTTACAGTCTCTGGCCACGCGAGACTTTACATTTCTGCATAGTGATAATGCACGATTCCAAGAAACAGAAGTCTCGAACGATTCTGCTAATACATTAAATTCAATGGCAAGATCACGGATGTACGCTATCACAAATGTTAACATGTAACCTCGTTCACCGTTTGCTTCGCCTGCCGGTATGCCACAATATTTATCAGCTATCTTGTAAATTTTTCGTTCCTGAGCTGCAATGTCCTCTGTCACGTCGCCCTCCATCAATAGCGTGGCCACGCATATCTGATCCCATTGGAAACCTTTTATTCTAGTGATGTACATATGTTTTAGTCCTTGCAGGATCAAGCTGCCCCAGCCAGACTCTGGGCGCAGAGTTTGCCCCATTTGGAACTGCTCGTTGTCCATTAAGCGTATACTGGCAGGTTGACATCGTTCCTTCGCAATCTATACATTCATAACAGAATTACATTCTTTTGTTGACCTTGTACCAGATGGATCATATTCCTTTACTGCGTAAACGAACAGACAGACGTACATACAATAGCTGTTTTTCATCGGCTTTCTTTTTGTCATAATATTTGTATTGAGCAAATGTTAACAAAGAAGCACAGTCTTTACTGGTTAGCTTAATGTAAGTGTCAACATAAAAGCATATACGCACCTCTCGCAATGCATGAACGCCGTTCAGAAAATGTGGGAATACAATACTGCCGTATTTCACTACTCGCGGTAAAGGTCGTATCTTTAATACAATCTCCGTGATAATTCCCAACGTTCCCTCGCTGCCGAGTATCACATGATCAAAATCCGGACCACAAGATACGCGAGGTACCAGATTACCTTTTTCTAAAGTGATAACAGGATCCTCTGTTCTTCCCGTGACCATTCGCAATCGCACGACCAAATCTTCAATGTTACCGTATGTGTTCTTTTTCATACCGCTTGCCCTAGTCGCCACCCATCCACCTAAACTATTCGAAACAAGCTATTTTCAGCTTCCGTGCATTTAAAATTTTGTTACTTACATTTGAAAAAAATTTTTAAATACTTATACATATATTATATTATTCAGGATTAAGTTTCAGACAATAACAATTTTTGAAGTTTGTTGGATACAAGTTACATATATTTTTGTGTTAATTTAATTTAATTTTTCAAAAAACATTCCGTATTTTGAATTGAAGTTACAATCATCTCCCAGTAAATGAGAATGGATTGAAATAGATTAAAATGGATTCAGATTTTCAGAAATAGGGATTGTTAAAATTATTTTCAATCCTGAATACATTTTTATTCATTTATAGGAATTGCACGGAACATATCTGTATATCTTTCAATCTAAGAATAATATTAGCTTTTTCAGTGTATCAATTCAGTATTCAATTCATATAACATACTGTTCAATTCAAAATTTTGAATAGAAAACGCAGTTTTTCAATCTAATTGAATTTAATTGAATCGAATTGAATCCAAAAAAGGTTTTCGCTGTTGAAAATACGCATTTGCGCGAATAAAAATGTCCAATCCATTTTAATCCATTCTCCTTTGCTGGGATAGTTAGATCTTGAAAAGTGTTGTAATATAGTATTTAATTTCAATCAAATATCATAATTCGATTCTACAGTATTTTGATCGCTCTTCGGGTGGAGAGATATTAATGTGCCTAAAACCTGCCCAATAGGTTATATGACACAGGGTCTCTTTTATTTTGTGCTTTACACAATCGGGTTATATTTTACAATAATACTTTAATTTAGCCCTGGGGATCATTAAAATATATACAGGTTTATATAAATAACAAAATGTTGACTACGCGCTACAGATTTTCTGGTACGATAACAAATATTATGAATAAATATGTACAAAGTAAGGTAAGCTTTATTGTATACGCGATAATGTTTTTTTATAGCGATGTATAATATGGAGAAAAATGTGTTTTATTTGCTTTTCATTCTATATATTTAAAACAACTCGCACTCTGAGCTAAAAAATTAATATTGAGTTTTGTAAGAAATGTAATCAGAAAGTACGTTTTATCATAAGTGTTATAACATATATACATTTATCAGTTATTGCATATATATATATATATATAAATGCGCGCGCGCGCATAATTTTTTTATATGATAATTTTTTTTACATACAGAAAATTATAACCTGGATAAAATTGGAATTTTTCTTCTCAATTTGAGCCTGTCACGTGCCCAAAATAATAAATTTATAAAAACTTTCGATTTTCTAATATAAAAATTTAAAATTTTCCTTACAAAATAGTTTTTAAAAAATATTTCTATGATCTTTTATTGTTGAATTATCGCAGATCAAGTAAAAACATTTTTACTTTAATTGCTTATAACTTTATTAAAAATCATCGGCCGCAATTTAAAAAAAAATAAATTCTTATGGAAGCTTCGCTCTATCGAATGTCATACATATAATTTATTATTAATTAAAAATTAAAAAATATATAGACACGCGATACAAATAAAGTAGCTCTACTATTTCCTTTGTTCTGGCCCAATACATGCGCGCGCGCGCGCGCGCACG